CTCCTTTAACTGCATGCTAACTATTCAGGCTTTGAGCATCTATGGCCTTGTCCATCAAGCACTATGTTTTTGTGGTCTTTTGAAGAGCTCCTCGGCCTTAAGCAAGGGAAATAAAACATTACCTTGTCTAACAGAACAGGACTGTTTAGATGAGAGGCATGTTTTTATTGAGAAAACATACTCTGAAGTGATAGTTTTTGTCTAAATCAATGCCAAAAAGGAACTGAAGGTGCAGGTAAAAATATTCATTAAATGTTTAATCCGGAAAATATCCAGCAAAGGCAAATCTCAGACCATATTCGTAGGATTTCTTTTTCTATTAATGCACTTTATTAATGGTTTTGCATAATGATGATCTTTACGTGTTTGTCCATACAGAGTGTAGGCATATCATGCCCTGTGTCAGAAATTTTAGGCACTTTTAGAAAGGTTATATGTACTACATTACATAGTTAAAGCTACTTTTTTGCTATTTAATTTAGAAGCATCCCTTGGGGGAGCTAAGTCTTACACAGTGACTGGAAAGAAGGAGCTGACTCTAAAGGTATCTGACTTAGATTACTAAAATAACCTGGCGGCTGGTTGTGACCCAGCCATGTGTGTGACAGCCCGGAAGGCCAGCTGTATCCCAGGCTGCATCCCTTGAAGTGTTCAAAATCAGATTGGATGGGACTTCAGGCAACCTGGGCTGATGGAAGGTGTCTCTGCTCATGGCAGGGTGGTTGGAACGAGATGATCTTTGAGGTCCCTTCCAACCCAAACTGTTGTATGATTCTAGGAATCTGAGGTACCTGATGTGAGCCTACCTGTTAAAACCTCTCTCTGTCCAAATGATATCACATTGTCTGCAACCTCTGTAGAGCCCACTTCTCCCCATTTTGTCACTTCTTTTTTTCTCCTGCTCGTGGCTTTGTATATGGAAATGTGATATTTATCTTTTGACAGATAATGTTTAATTTTGCCTTCAGCTTGTGTTTATTTCATACTGGTTTTGTTAATATTGCCATACTTAAGATATATATTCTCTCCCCGGGGCATTTTCTGTATCTGCTTTCCAAGTAATATTGTGTATGTAATCTTACTGAATAGCAATTATATCCACCAATCAAAATTTATGACTCTGTAGAGTTGCTGCCTTGTAACTACACATTTCATTCTTTATTATGAGACTTTGGGCAATATAACTGGCAGCCTATAATCAGCTGGAGTGCAGGAATTTTGAAGTGTCAGGACTGTGAGAAATAACTTGTGAAGCTCAGGTTGGCTTGTTTTGGTGACTGTAGTAGAATCACAGAATAACAAAAGGTTAAGGAGGTGAACACGGAGTGTCCAGATGGTGCGTAGGTAAATTGGTTATTTTTGGAAGTGATACATAGACAAAGTCCAGAAATGTGTAGCACCAAGAACAGTTTCAAGCATTACAAGAACATATTTCATAATACCAAAGCAGTAATCATTTAGCCAGAGAGGAGCTAGGTGACTAGACATGGGTTTATGGGTGGGTTGTGAAGTAGGAGACAGCTTAGTCACTTAGTGCCATGTGGCACCAGGCCATTGTAGGAAGTGCCTCCAGAGTGGCTCTCTGTGCTTCCCCTCTAAACTATCCTCTGGGTGGTAGGCATTTACACACCTTAGCAGTTACTAAAATAATTAGTAAAGATATAACTGGCTTGTTCAACTTTCAGTTCATCAAATTATGTCTTTCAATTTCCTCTAAGTCAGATGGAGTCACATTTTAGGCAACATTTAGTCACATTTTAGTCACATTTTTGTGCTTTTGTCAGAAGCAGATATTTGGCTCACAAGGATTAATCTGGTAGTTTCTCTTTGCCTTGTATGTTTTGCAGGTTCTCAGACTTTTGTGCAGTTGAGTGTTCTCACTTGGCCTTAAACTCTAATATTGAAATGCTCCAAATTATTTTTTTTTTCTTTTAAGAAATAGAAATGTTCAGTTAAACTGGCTTTTATGAGACTGTATGTAGGTGTGCACTCATTAAGTTTTTTTATGAGGGGCCAAGAGCACAGAGATGGTAAATGTTTTGTTAAGAGGTGAATTGTAGCATGTAAGGAGATAAGAGAGCTGGACTGGGACATTTTCAACAGGACAGACTGGCCTCTGTATTGGTTCCCAGAGAGTTCCCCATGTAAAATTAATCTGCAAGAATATTAGCATATGAATATTCCAGCTTATGAACCAATACTCTAGCTGAATAACTCTCCATAACTAATGCCAACACATTTCATGGTTTTTGATACTTGTATTAAAAAACCCCTACTTCTGAAATATGATTTTATCAAATAGTTGGCATATTATTAGACCAGTGAAGTCTGTTACACACTCCAAACATAATAGTATGTAAATTAAACTAAAAGTTAATTTTGCATTTTCCCTGAGCAATGAAATGATGTCCTGAAGAATATTGCATTTTAATGTTCTTTTGGTTGATCATATTATATTTTCTTTCTCCTGTTATTTCCCATAAACAGTATCATTCCATAGTGCTGACAGCCCATATACTAAACACCACAGTGAAACAACAGGAACTGTATTGTTCTCTATATACTGACAAGTCTCTTTGCTTAATGTGCATTCAATAAAGATAAAATAGCAAATGTTATTAAACCAGGGGAAAAAACACAATGAAAGTTATTAATATGTTTTTTTTCCTGTTGTGTTATACATGTGCCACTTTGTTTTTCTTTTCTTTAAAAATATGATTTTGTTGAAATAAGACAGCAAGGAAAAACTACATCATAAAAGTGCAATAGCAATGAAGATATTTGTTTCAGTGCAGCCTCAAAAGACTAGAGAGCCCATTTCTTTTTTTGGCTAGTGGGAGAGAGTATTAAATGCTGTTCTCTGCTTTCAATTAAACAGCAGCATTAAATATAAAATAAAAGTTTAAGAATTAATAAAATTTCCTTCCTCATCCAAATTTCCTCACAGATTTTAAAAGTATTATACCCAGAGGAGGAGTTTAAAAAATGACTAGCTGTTTTTTATACTTCCATTTCACAGAACTGAAATATTTTCCTTCATCATGAGCTGCATAAGGAATCAAATTTGAAAAACCACTAAAGTGGCCTTTACCTAGAGGTCTCTTAGTCCACATTGTATCACAGGAGTGTTGGTCAGGACGGGCATGCCTGTCCTATGTCAGTGGGTAGTTTGTGTTTGAGGAGCTTCAGCTGCTTGCCTGTGTTTTGCTCATTCTCTAGGGCTGTGTAATGACTTCAGTGCTGTCTCCATCCTTGGGGCTGCAAAGGTCTAAATGCAGAAACTGCTCCCAGAGGAGCATCACCTGGCTGTGCTCCTGGTGCCCATGGGAACCAAATGGTGCTTCTGTGGAGGCTTTGTTGGAAGAGTGTTAGCCAGAGTTGTTCCCTCCAGGCCAGCAGTTCTTCCACCTGTGTCTGGCTCAGGGCTGCTTCTTCCCGTTCTCAGCCCCAGCCTTGCCTTTCCCACCTCTCCCAGCTGTAGCCAGTGACCATGGGCTGCCTATTGCCCTGACTGCTGCTCTTGGGAGCTGGTGGAGATCAGGGCTGTTGCTCCATGCTTTAGCTCCATCTCAGGGCATGCCAGAGCTTTTGGTGCCAAGCTGCAGGTACTGGGGTGGCCATGGTGAGCATATGTCCTACTGGGGGAAAGCTGCTGTCCCCTTGCTGGCAGAAGCTGTGCCACAGTGCTGGGCAGGGCCTGGCTGTGTCCTGCCATGGGCAGTGTGCTCTGTCCCTCCAAAGCCCTGCATTCCTGCAAAGGGCTGAGCAGCTGTTGGGAACTGAGCAGGACAGACCTCCATATACATTTTGACCCCCAAGTGCTTGTGTGTGCTGCTTCATACTCCCTGGGAGGAACTTCCGAGGATTGATCTTTTTTAAATAAGTAAAAACCTTAAAAACCTGTACAGCTATTAAGTTGAGCGTCATTTTTTTTGACCCTTGGTTTTGTCCAAGCTCCACCCCTTGAAGCACCTTAAAACACTTGACTGACTTCAAGCCATAATTAAGAATTCTGCTTCTGCTAGGCACCTTAAGTGAGGAAATCTTAAGGCAGGAGAGGACTGTTGTCTTTTGAAAGTAAGGGATGGGTGTCTGGATTGGTTTTATTATTAGGCCTGCCTCACAGCTTTACCCACTGGATCACTGCTAACATAATATATAATAATATATATTTCCGAGTGTCAAGACGTCTCATTTAAAGCTTAACTCAATTTTAAATCCATGTGGAAAGGGAAGACCTTTAAAATACTTAATAAATTCTAATCTTAATCATACTCACCATTATTAGAATTTGAAATAGGTTGAAATACTTAAGGTAAGTGAAATGAGAAAACTAATAAAGAGCATGAAACACACTGGAGAAATGGAAGAATAATTGCTAAACATTAAGAAGTCTAAAATGGCCAAACATGAAAAAGCCTTCATTTCCAATAAGCATTTATTTAAAAGTTTTGCAATAGCTTAATAATATAAAAGCAGATTTTAAAAATTAATTGAATGTTAAGTGCAGCAGAGTGGAGAGACATGATTAAATGCATTAAAACTTCTACTAGTCCTGTCTTTGGTCTTCAGAAATTATTTAGGTCTTGTCAGTTCTTGAGAGTGTTGTGTCACCTGTCAGCAAGGAGACATCACTTATCAGTGTTCCTGTTAATAATAATTAGCATTTAGGTAATAGTAGTTTTCATAATAAGTTGTGCCTAGAAGTGGTAAGGTACTGTGGCTGAAGACACCTGCTTGCTCAGTTTTGTACAGCCCAAAAAAAGAATTTTCTCTTCCAAGGATTGTGTAATCTAAGCATGAAAGGAAGAACCTCTTTGGTTTTAATTAAAAATTATGCACAGGTAATCAAAATGTTTACCTTCTATTGTTTCATCCTTTTTTAATTTTCTGCTAGTGAGTGAAAAGAGGTATTTGAATGATGCACTTCACAGTGTTATCTGTGTGAGTGGCATTGAATCTTTTAAAAATTGAAACTAGTAATTGTATTTGTATTTTAGGGATTACTTACCTTGACCATGCTGGTTCAGCGCTTTTCCCGGAGAGTCTACTTAAAGCTTTTACTGATGACCTCAGAAACAACATTTATGGTAAGTGCAAAGCAATGTTCCCATGAGTCTTGTCAAGTTTCCATCTAAATCATTCAAAACTGAGCTTCTTGGAAGAGACCTTCTGCAGGCTTTTAATGCTTCTGTAGAGTAGTTGGAAGACCAGTGCTTTTACAAAGGAGGTGTAGGCTCTTTGTGTCACCCCTGGCTTCGTTCTGTGGTAGCCAAAGACCTGTCTACGTAGGTAAAGGAGAAAGATTAAAGCAAACATGGCTCTGTTGCAGGACTCTTTTAGGGCACCAGGCTTGGGATAAAGAAATGCATTTTAGCTATAAGCACTGTTCATTCTTTGTGGCTTTTTCCACAAAAAAATGCAAACCTAGTTTCTTATGCAAGAACCAGGATCCAGAACCACCTTACTTCTCAGACAGAGTCATCACAAAGAGTTTATACTGTGACTCAGTATAAGAATTTTATTCAGAAGAAAGCATAGCTCAAAGATCCCAAGTGAATTTAGGCACAGAATAGGTGCTATTAGACTTTGCTCTGCTCTGGCTATTAGACTTTGGTGCCTACTCAGAAAAAGGATAGGTATTGCCAAAGTAATCCTTTGCAGAGGAATGTGAGTAAAATTATCTACAGAATTGTGTAATATCTGGGTGGAGATTTAACTATTACAGCACCACCTGTAAGTACTTCATCCCCAGACCCCCAACCTAGATCTTTAATTTCTTTCTGATGTTATTATCTAGCCAAGAATCACACACTGAGTGTGATTTTATACAAAGTCAGCAGCATCCATTGTATAAGAAATATTGATACTGTGTGAGACAATTTACATTAGTGAGTCATGCTCAACCAGAAAAAATAAACTGCACAGTATTATGTCGTGAGAAGTCCCACTGAAGTAATCAAATTTTCTATGGTGTGTTACTGTCTGTGGGTCATGTGTCCTTTTTGCTAGTTTTGTGTCTTTCTTGTGCTCCCTGGTACATGGAACAAAGGGATTCCTCACTTGGGAGCTAGGTACCACTGCTTTACAAGAAAATGCTTGTTCACTCCAGCGCTGGCACACATATGCTTATCACCTGGGCAAGCCACTTGAGAGTTTTGGGTAGTTTTCATTTTCCATGTGCCATTATATAATTTCCCCTTATTCTTTTTCCTGAATGCTGGCGAGGCTGGGATCCAGAGCATAAATTTGAGTTCCACTACAAAGTAAGTGTTATTCTTTATAGAGATAGGGGCTTTTTTTTCTGTTACAACAAAATACATCAATTTGATTACATTCAAGATCTCCTATTCAAGTGCATTCCAGTGATACAAAAATTAATGTTCTGTCACCATAGACATTGTAAAGTAAAATGTCTGTGCCCAATTTCAAACATTGGGCTAAATCCTTTTAATAAGTACCATCTATGGCAGAAAAAAAATAATTTGTGAATCAATTGAGTGCTTGTGAATAGAGCTAGTAGTACTGTCAGTTTGGAGCAGATTTTGCATAGTACCTATAATGCTATAGGAGAACAAATTGTATATTTTTATTGGTATTTTCATCTAAAATGATAAGAGCTCCAGCATAGTCAATTTTTTCTTTTCCAGTTACATCTCATACTCTAAGAACAGTAAATCTGTCTAAGGACAGTATAGGAAGAGCTAATTTAACAAACACAAATGTGAGTGAAGGGGGAGTTTGACTTGCAGTTTTTTTATTTGCTTGGTGACAATCCACAGGCCCAAAGAACTGCAGTTTAGCTGTTGCATGTGTAAATGAGGGAAAGTAATATAAGTGATATTTTCAAATTAGAAGTGACACTATTTGAATTGGAAATTACAGAAATACAACATCAGACATAAGTATAAGTTTTGGGTTTGAGCTCTAAAGCTATTACTTTCAACACCTTCACTCAACAACTTTCAGCACTGTAACTTTTAAATTTTGAAAAGAGTAGCTAATATTGCAGCTTACTGCAAAAACTGTGTTAGTGTAGCAATTTTTTTCTTATTCCCTTTCCAAACTGTTTTTGCATGTTCTCTAAGTATTTGCTGATAGGGAAGTGTGCTGTGTCTGGGTGAATATTGCTGTAATCTTTTTTGCTCAAGAAGATAAAATCATGCTGTCTTAATTGTTATATATGTTTGTGCTGAACGGAGCTAAGGTGGCTACTAATTTTGCAATAAAATTTATATTTCAATGAATTGCTTGAATTTCAGGCACTAAAAAACCAAGGATTAATTCTTCTATCCAATCAGGATTGTCTGTTATCTCCAGATTCTGTCTTTTGCTTCTTAGCTACTGTACAAATATGTTTATGAATGTGCATTCTGTCTGTAGTTTTTCTAGTATGTTTGTGCATGTGCAGTTTCATTTTCTTTTTAGGGGAACTGCCTAAATATTAGTAAGAGATCCAGTTGAAGTTTCTAGGTCTGATATAATTGCTTTACTTTGTTGTATGTCCCTTCTCTTGACTAAGGGACTCCAGGGAATTGCTGTGAAGTACGCATTGAATCTTTACCATCTTTTAGGCTCACTTGGTGTAATACTTTGATAAAAGAGAAATTTAATAGCAAAATTGTGATTAATGATTAATTTCTGTATCTCTTGTCTCCTAGGCAACCCTCACAGTCAGAATATCAGCAGCAAGCTGACATATGACACAATTGAGCATGTTCGATACAGGTAGAATAATCTTTTTTTCAGATGTTGTATGATGCACTTTTTAGTTTTCATTTTGGTTAGGCCTGGACTGTTTTGATGGCTTTGATGTGATACCATTTTCTAAGGGTCATCTGTAATACATAAAGAAAACACCTCACTTTTAAAACACAAGATATTTGGACAATCAAGTCTTGGATCATATAAATTATTTTTCTCCCAGATGGCCAAATCCACCAAGTCCTGTAGTTAATTTAGTGCTGTAGTACAAGTCCACAGTTTTAATTAAGATGTGGGACTTGGAATTTCAGAAGTGATTATTAGTAAGATGGTATGGTAAAATAATAAGTTTGGACTAGGTACAAAGACATGGTTAAAATTCAGATAATATTAAATAGGGTGTAATGGCTCGTGAGAATTTACAAAAAGCTTATGGGAATGTGTACGTTGTTTTACAGCAGGTACTTACTTCCATTGCAGTAATAAAATACCTTTTAAAGCTGTTTTAGTATAACTTTTAAGAGTAGAAAGAAAAAAAGGTAAAAGTGAGTGTTGAGGCATCTGGGTATGGACAAGAAAATGAACTGATTCTCTAAACAAAGTATTCCTTTGAAAGCTCAGGATGGATCATGCTGAAGGTACACATCTTGCAATTGATTTGTTGTGATTTACATCATGATGAAATATACCACTTAGGCACTTGGTTATTTGCTTTAGGAATTCGTTTCAGAAAACACTTGCTATTTTATAAAATATATTTTTATCACAGAATATGAATGCTTTGAGTTTATTGGGCTGCTTTTAATGATACACTTAAGGCAAGTAAGAATGTAATGGATTCCTATTTTATCTTCTTCCTTGAAAGTAAATATTTCTCCAAAACACATCACAGAATTCAGATCAATAGCATTATAGTGTTCATAGTTGTAATGAAGAAAATCTGTTTTATACCTTTCTGCTGCATTTTCTCTGACTGTTTTTATGGGATTGTAAAAAACTCAAGGATTTCTGATTGGATGCTGCTGGTGGCTACAATCTGTTTCCCCCTTTGCATCACCAGCTTTCTGGAGAAACTATTTCTTTTTGCTTATGCCACAACCCTCTCTTAATGCTGTGCAGGATGACAACCTATTAAAGTATGGCCAAATGGAATGAAAGAGACTACCCATGAGGAATAACTGTCTTCAGAAGCAGACACTCTACAGCCAATTACAGCAACACCCACAGTCTGCAGAGTCTTTTGATCAAACCTGTGTGCATTCTGATTTCCATTTACTGAGTGCTATTGCAATGTTGCTGTTTCACAGTTCTGCTTATGAAGGCACAGTAGGAAGTGTAACTGTTTTTAGAATAATTACTATTGTACTGTGTGTTCTTCGTTGTTAGGGAGTAAGGAAATAGGCTTTTACTGAGTAAAAACCTAGATCACTTGAAAAGAACTTACATCTTCAGCATGTTTTATTTTGGATCCTCCTTTAAAAAAGCTTGAGACATTTTTAAGCGCAGAGTGGGAGATTACAAGAACATACCAATGTTAGTATTGAGGGAGTTTTTATGTGTTTTGTTTTTGGTTTTTTTTTAAATGCCCTCTGCACCTAAACAAACATATTTTGGTATTACACCTGATAGAATTTTTCATCTGTCCCTAAAGAAATGCAGCCATTTTTAAACTCCCAATAAAAATTTAAAAACCACAGTCGTCAAAAAGGCATAGTCATAAAAATTCAGGAAGAAAATGCCCCAAACCTACTGTCAATAAGTCAGCTATCCAGAATGCAATAAAAGTATATTAAAAATCTATGCCTCTATGCCATTGCAGCTAATCAAAATAAGCAGTATGACAAGACAGGGAGACAAGCAGCTCTGTCCTGCATCACAATGCATAGATTGGATTTCCTCAGTGAAAAAATGATTCAGCAGGTAGTTTTAGAAATCTCAAAATGAGTTGCTGGCTTGTAGTTTGGCTTTTGGCCTGTGGCTGTAATTCAGAAGTATAGATTTTTTTTCAGTGCTTGACTCCAAGACAATGTTATTTTATTTTTTTTAATTAATTTTTTTAATTTGATTTTCCAATGTGATTGCACAATCAGCTAATTAAAAATTAATACTAGACTTAATTTCAGATTTATATTTGCTGATATGGGTGACAGCAGCATCAGAATAGACTTTTCTAATCTGTCAGTGTACACTGTTCAATGGTACAAACCTGAGTGATTTGGTTTTACCTTCACATCTGCTTGACAGAGAGAAACCATTCTTAGAATGTGGCTTTGCAATAGAATAACATAAATAATTAAATAATTGAGTCAGTGGACGTTTTCTCAGATTTACAAAATTATAATAAGATGCTTTACCTCTTGACCAACTCAGGTGCAGTAAGATTAGAAATAACTATTTTATTCTTGAAAACATTGCTTCTCTTTTCTTAATGTGGACTGCTGAGTGATTTTAAGCATTATGCATAGCTCAACATTAACCATGAGTGAAGCTGAAAAGAGGAAGCAAGAAATGTAATAAACCTTACAGAAATGTATTAAATGTATGCGTCAAAAGATTATAGATCCTTTTTTATTACTTTGCTTATGGATGTATGGTACTGCCATTGCTCCACTTACACACAGCTAGAGAGCAGGAGTACAATATCTCCTTATGATGCTGCAGTTAATGTAACTCAGGAATTCATTACACTGAGTATTAAATAACTCTTTTCCCATATGCAAACATTTAAAAAATATTAGATTTATGAATATTTTAACACACTGTCCTTTTGAATCTTGTACTTGCAGTATCAAATAGTGCAGCAGTGTCTTCTAAACAGAACCAGACTGAAGTTTGAAATCTGTGGTGTGTTTAAGATATACAACAGGATACCCTTTCATGTATACACAGTGTTGTAATAGAGTTTTGATGTTCATCCCTGAACTTTCAAGTCCTATGAAATGTTAAACTGAATCATACTTCCGTAATTCAAATATATATTTTTTAAAAGGTCAAAGAAATTTCAGTTATGATTCTGGTACCAAGCATCTCCTAGATGTGGCAATATGTATATTGCAGAATTTTTTCGCTGAAGCTAAAAAAATTGAGCTAAATGGGATGAAGTTAAAATATAGAACAAAAACATGTGTTCCTATAAGGGCTTCTCTCAAAATATGCTATCTAAATGAACTGTAAGAGGAGATTAATCAGTACATACAATCAAAAACAGGTAGAGTGGGCATGCACAAAACAACTGTAAATGGCTCAGTGTTTTAAAAATATATTTGTTTCTGTGGTAAAACACACAGGTGGTACCAGATTATGCTAAGGAATCAGTCTCATAAATGCTGTTTATAATTTCATTTGCATTGTATTTTTAGAGAACATTTCATGATAGCAAGATAGAACTTTACTTTCCTTCTGCCAGCATCATACCTTGCTTATGAAATAAGTTTCCATTCCAAGTCTTTTTTTTAAGTTAACACATTTTGAAATAGTGTTTTGTTCAAGATAGGGATTTTTTTTAATTCCCAGGTTTAAGCAGTTCCGTGTCTGAAAACAGTAATGTTGGAACTGAAACATACATGAAAATGGATTGACCTTTCCTGCTCAGTAAGAAATGGTAGATACAGTATCTTCTTAGTATCGATTTATTCTTTGCAAAGGTCATTGACGGGAGACCGTATGGATGAGTGACATCTGAGCACTGCATCCTGTCCTCCTTAATGGCACCCATCAGCTTAAAAATCTTGTTTCCAGTCGAGAGTGGTTCAGTCCTTCTGTATGCTTGTTTTAGAGCACCATTTGCAACACTGCTTTTCCTGATGCCACTGCTCAGTGGGACAACTGAAGTACCACAGTTGGTGAAGTCCAGCAAAAGGTCACCGTGCTCACTGCAGTGACTCTGTACATGTAAATGAGAAAGGCATTAGAAGATAATTAGGAATAATGTAATAGGTTTTTTGGAAGAGTTTAGGCAAGAAGGGTTCCTCGTGGTTCATGACATTATTTAGGCATGCAATTAAACAATCCCAGGGTGCCCCCAGTGAGTGACTGATGACCCCACGGTGGGCTCTGTCATGTTCTGAGTGACAGCACAGCAGGGGCTTTGGTGTAGATGCTTCTTGCTTTTCCCTCAGCCACACCTAGCCTTTTGTGCAAAGGTCTCCATTTTATAAACAGTTGTTTCTACGAGTCAATCGATGACTTTTGGAGGGTTTACTCTTTGCAATCCTATGCAAGGTAGTAAAAATCTTCTGGTCAGGGTAACAGGTCATTTTTGAATGAGTTAGGAGACTGGTTTAAGAACAAGTAAAATCATTTTGTTTTACTTTGAAACTTTGCTCCTGGACTTTCATCTCTATTTTAATAAATTTATTAATAATTAACTTGATGAGATGAAACTTTAGGAAGGAATTTGCTAATGCCTTCTGTTACTTTTCTGGTAGTCAGCTTTATACATTCATATATATGGAGAGTAGCAAATAAAATTGGTACATGCACTGTCATGCTCTCTGACTAATCTTTGTTGCATAGAGAGTCAAATCTGGAATGCTTCATTTATTGAAAGAAATAAATTCTTCAGTAAAATAAATTAAAAGCTGGAGGTCAAGATTGCTAGTTTATGAACAAAAAGGATTAAATGCTTCTGGGAAATTCTGAGTTTTATTAGTATGGGTGGCTAGAATGTTTTGCATAGAGGTCTGAAAAAGACTGGATACAACCTTTATATTTTTTTTCTTTCTGATTCAGAAAAAACCCCCTCAGGACTCTGCTTTTATAATATGTTTGTGACAAAGCAGCTATGGAGACTAAGTTTAAATGAGATCTTTCTGTGCTATTGCTCTCTAGATAACATTCAGAGTAGGGAGAGTGGTACAGTCTTACTTGGATTCAGGCCACTGGTTTAGTTCACTTTTTTTTAAATGCACACAGCCTTGATGCCTCCTCAGCTGCTTTTTTGGCAGGGACCCAATGGCCCCTGTGCCCATGGGGAGGTCTTTGAAAGGGTACATGAGCTGATGGATGAGATAGTCCAACTGGAA